TAAATCCTTATGTGATTTGCAACCTGTGAGACTATCTCTCAGTGACGCATTATTGCCAGTAATTTATTTTAGCCTATTTCCTGCTTTATTCCTCACCTTTCTCCCAGGTTTTTTTTGGGTATGCTATACTTTTTACAGGTTCTCCTCCTTTCCTAAAGTAGAACATTCCGTTTTCATATGACTTGGTTAGGGTTTGGCAATGCTAGTATCATTAATTTATATGGAAAAAATTTTGAACATTCCCATTCAAAACTAACCTTCCAAATCCTACAAATAGGAAAATTTTACAGACTGTAGCAGAACAACCTATAATTCTTTTATTAATTACCTTTCATAATTTCAAATAATATGCTTACTCTAATTTCATAATTTTAAGAATCTTTATCCCCTGTCTATAAATTGAGGAAATAATAACTACACTAGAGTTCACCTCTTCTCTACCCACAACTCACAGTTTTTGCCAGTTATGCCAGGAGTTTTAAATTTATAGTATTTATAGTATTTATATTTATAGCCATCCTATTCTTGTTTTATAACTTTATCTGAAAGATTCTGAGATTTGCTTAAAGATTAATTCTAAAAATTAAAAATAGGGTCTCCCTAGTGGTGCTGAGGTTAAATCTTATGCTATCAAACTATCACCAGCCACATGCGGCAGAAGATCGATCCCCAGCCAGGGAGCTGACCCACATGGCACAGCAGACCCCTCCTCTCTTACCTGCTGCTCCCCTCAGCAGTGAATTTCAGTGGCTCTGCCTGTTCTGTTTTCTACTCTGTTATCTGGTAAATCCTCTCACCACCACCACCACCCCAGCTCTCTTGCCTACACCACAGTTCTTGTATCCATAAAAAAAATCTTAATAAAATAATAAACAGAATATGGAACAGTTTTATGTTGATATTGCTCATTGCAGAGTCAATTCACCTCGGGTGAAGGAAACGTAATTCTAATATAAATAAATGTAAATTCAAATATAAGTAAAAATTTGCCACTCAAAGAAAATGATTTAAAATGAAGTTAACTCTTTTTGATGCCAACAATTCCTTAGATCATGTCACAATATACTTTCTTTCACATATAGAAGTTACTTTTTATTGAAGTTCTTTGGTTTTTCCCCTGAAGTTTGTACATTTTTTTCTATATTACAAGAAACATGAATATTTCATCACAATATTATCAAAGTAAATCAGCTCTTTTTCTTCTTTTGTCCCCTCCTATTTATCAACTATTCTTCTGTTACCTGTTGATTTCTCAGTAGAAAGATATTTGGCAACCTGGACTCATCTTTAAAGTTGCTTATTTTTCTCTCATACTTTATTTTTGCCTCTGTTCTATTTTTAAAACCATCCCTTTGTTGTTGGAGTGGGAAAACATATTTTTAACTCAACAATTTCCTCTGTTCTTTTTTTATGCATAAAACTTGCACTTACATCAGAGTATTCCTTTTTGAATCTGAGGGTGTTAACTTGAATGGAAAAAGAAAAACTTTCTTCCCTTAGTTATTTCAGAACTTTATGTGTCAATTAACAGTTAATTTCAATGAGTCAATTAATAGTTATACCTCCATCCCTGTGTATACTTACTACAAATAAATTACTTACTACAAATACATTACTTAAGTATATTTAGAACTTTAAGGATTTTCTGATATTTCCATTAGAAAAACATCATGTTAGGTTGGTAGGTATGAAGGAAAGAACACTGAAATAGTTTTGGTTTCATTTGTGCTACTTCATAGCTATATAAGCACACAAGTCTAAAATACTCAGTTTCTTCACCTACAAAACACAGGTAGTACCTTCACTACCAAATTATAGAGAAGACTAAGTGAGTAATGTGCTGATAAATAATAGATATTCAAATGTTATTTCCTTTCTATGGAAGTGATTTTATTTAAATATCTTAGAATTAATAGATATGTATCTTTTTATCAAAACAGTGCTAAAGAAAAAATTAAATCTATCATTGGACATTCTTTCTATAAAATAAACAAAACACTAAGATCAAATATTCCTTATGTATAATTTATTATGTGACTATGTGCTGTTTATTAGGGCACATTTACTGTTAAGCCCTTTAAACATTAGTTTTAAAACATATTTCTCCTGAAGTGTTTTGCTACTGTAAAATATATTTATCCCATTATTTCTTCAATCTGTTTAGATTAATTTTTGTATTATCATCCTAACACCTGCTAATATGATTTAAGGACAACTACTTCGTAAATCTTTAACACAACTGCTTCTGAAGCTTTGTGGTACACTTTCTCACAGTAAACTCCAATCAGGAAAATGTTCAAATAAGAAAATATGTTCTAAATCACAGAGGCCAGGGCAAAGAATGCGGAAAACAGCATTTACTTGTACCTTGAGCTCTCATTTACCCAGTCTTTAGATAAAATACTTGCTCCCTTTTGGACTTGGAAAATGTAAACAAGTATCCATATAAGGGGGAAAAAAAGTCTCTTGACTTTTAAAGTGTCACTAAATGTAGCCAGTTCAGACTTGTTTGTGATAAATGCATGTGTTGTCACAAGGTTCTTCTACTATTTCAACTTAAATTGCTATCTTGTAAAACAAAAATGTTCTGATAGCAAAGATTATTCTTAAAGGTGGTTCATGAAGAGAAATGGAGACATTATTTAAAAAGCAATGTTTAAGTTAATATAGAGTAAGTGCCATTCCAGAGGGAAGAAAACTGGTATTTTGTCTTTACTTGAAAGGAATTTTTCTGGGGGGGTGGTTAGGAGAGGCTCAAAATAGAGGGGAAGAATAAAGAGACAACAGTGGTGGTGCACAGGTAAACTGGTGGTGGGGACTACACCTGCGAGGGGAAAGCATGCATGGTACAAATAGGAAAAATTATGTAAAATATATATTAAAAGGTAATAAAATTAAAAATAAACAGTAAAAAGAAAGGAATTTCACACTAAATTGCTCCATTACAATAAGTATATTAGACTTGGTAATTTGTAAATTTTGTTTTGTGTTTTCAATTCTATGTCAATACTCAATGCAAATATGACTTTAACTATTAATTTTTCCAAATTGTATATTTTGGGGGAAATAAACAATTCTAGAATACACATACAATGAGCCCAGGTATGATTTAGTATATATCCTACTGATAGGGGTCATTTATGACTGATCTATATTTGGTGAACAAGCTAAATGAAGATATAAAGCTATCTTGTTAAATTATCTATGAGGACATACCCTAAATTATTCATAGGATATGTTCTGAGGATTTAGGAAGTAGGATAGGAGTTGTGGAAGGCCTTGGTCAATGAAACATTATTTTCTTTTCTATTTTAAAAATCAGGACACACTGTGTTTATAATTCTGACAAACTTTAAAGCCATTTTTTTTTTAAAAAATCATCACTATCCTTTAATTCAACAGTATGAGCAAGACATACAATATGTAATTTCTCACTGACATCAATATGGTAGGTAATAAATGGATTGGTTATTTAACTTTAAATTATCTCCAGTAGAGGAGACCTAAGATCTTTTTCACCACAAATGTTTGTGCCATTCTTATTCACTGTATGCCATGATTTTTGCATAGATAATTCTTTTTATACTTTATTCAAATATCATTGTCTTGTTCAATACAATCCTATTTAAGGAATACTCAGTAACTGATAGTTCATGGGTTGCTCATAGCTAGTCCAAAGATGTATGTTTTTTGGCTAGAAATATTTTTGGCGAATTAACCACCAGCATTAAGTAATTGAGACTTAGTGCAAAATTCAGGATTCCCAGCCTCTCTTGAGAGGTCCCAGCTCCTACACAGGGCTAACATTCCCACACAGCAAGTGGGAGCGCTTACAGCAGCCTCCTTAGCCTGCGTGCACATGCTCCAGCTCACCATGGCCCGACCAGTCATTCCACAACCACACTTCAAGCCATCCAACCATTTAAGTATTTGAGTTTCTCCTTCCATTTAGAAATATCCAGGTACAGACACACATGTCATTTACCCCTGCCCTATTTCTGTGCCCTGGTGCAGTAATCAGCAGTAGCTTCTAGCTCAGCAGTGATTCTCCTTTACTTCTTTTTTCTTCCAGTTCTTAACAGCATTCTGCTCATATAAGGAAAGCAGCCATAAACATTCCTATTAACTCTTGAAATTTATGCTCCTTCCTCCTACACCAGCTTTCTCTCCAAGTCCATAGTCTGGCCACATGTCCATGTAAGAATCAAGACTTTCCTTTGCTAATATGGTCCTAACTCACTTTACAAGGTCATAGGCCAGCAATTGCAGCTGCAAACATTCAGGGCAGATTTCCAACCAGTTTGACCACCTCCTGCCCCCAACCCCGGAAGGGAGGAGATGACCTGTTCAAGAGAGCAGCCAAAGCTAGCAGAGGCATTTATCGGCTCAAAAGTCATTTGCAAATCAGTAACTACAGGGTGATGCCAAAAGTTCTCAAGCTCCCAATTTTAGGATAAAGGAATGGAACCTCTAATCAACCCTTTCTGCCAACTCTGCATCCCAGAACCAATCAGTTTGAGGTATAGATTATGTCTGCAGTAAATGTTTGCTGACTATCGAATGTAACTCTAAGCTCTCTAGACGATCAGCTGCAATCTACCTTTAATGTACTGTCATTAGGTCCAACTTCTAGTAATAATACTTTTATACCCTACAATGTGCTTCAGCTTCAACATGACTTATCTTATTTGACTCAACAGGAAAGTTGTGAGGTAGGGAAAGCTGGATATATAGTACCACCTCCAATTTACAGAAAAGGAAGTAGAACTCAGAAAGATGAATGTGACTTCTTCAGTGTCAAAGAATGAATACTGGGCTCCTGTTGATTATATGTTTATATAAGCCACTATGAACTAGACATAGGAACAAGGAGAGAAGACTAAAAGTTATAAATTAGAATGAAACTGCAGTCCTTTAAGAGAGAAAATATTACATTTTTTAAAAAGAGATATTCTGTAACAACAGCAATATTTAATAATTAGGGAACAAAATTCAACAAATCAAGATTTTAAAAATGCTTTTATATAGAAATATTTTTACAAAGATTTTACAACATAGCAAATCATTATGTCATACTACAGAAAGAAGAAAAAGATTAAACATCAAGAAGAAAGAAAGTGCTCACAGCATCTTATTGCAGTCTCCATGAAAGTGCATAAACAGTTAAGGCAAAGTACCATGTAGGTACAGGCATGTTGCAAAATGACTTGTAAAACAGTTCTTAAAAATATTTACAAAAACTTTTTAAAAAAAAAAAAAACTACTTTTCTTAGACATTTGAAAGACTTGCTCTACAACTATGTAAAAATAACCCCTGGGTACAAAATAGTAAAAGTAAAAATGCTCTACCTGGGCAAGCATGTTAAAAGTAAATCAAATGATTTATGAAACAAGACCTTTCCAAGTGCAGGCTCGCTTCCTATGTTGAACATGCCAGCCTGAAAGCCTTACCCCCTCATATTCCAAGACAGAGATCCTTAATGACAGTGCTGTATGAGTAGGATTCAGATTTTACCCATCTATTGGCATATTTGAAGTCCACATTATTCACTGTTATAAATCTATTTTACAGCTTTGCTTCTACCTGAAGCTAACATGATAAGCCATTTTATGAAGTACTACATATGCTTAATATAATAGTTTGCCCTGTCTGATAAGAAAAATATGAAGGCACTCTTTAAAGTTCTAACTAAGTATGTAAATCCCTTAAAAGATCGATAGGATCAATAAGGGCCATACTAGTTATCAAGGTTCAATCTTCACACTTGGAGCAGAATTTGTTTTTACAATGTAACTGAGAATAAGACACCAAAAAAAGTGTCTTGCTTGAACAGGAATGAATTTCAGGGAAAAGTGACATCTGAAGTCCTGTCAAATAATAATTATCTGCCAAATAACTTAATTCACGTGACTAACCACTCTTTTTTTATGTAAAATTTTATCTATTTAGGGAATATTATTGTGGCCATTTTAGTCTCCATATTGAAACTAAGTTTTTCTTTCCTTTTTTTTTTTATTTTTCTATAAATGTGGGACTAAACCAATCCATTTTTACTGACTTTGCTTACTAAATAGCTTTAGCCCTCAGCATATAGCTATGGTAAAACCAGAGAGAAACACCCAGACTTTTACTGGAAATCTGAATTACAAAATAAGTACAATGTGCTTTATAGAATCTTGTAACAGGGATAGCAACAGCATAACTGTCTTACACATCAGATGCAGATGCATTAATTTGAGTTTCATTTGAAACTTCTTTTTCATCAGGACCACAAACAAAAAGCTTGTTGCCCAGCATTTTTTGGGAAAAGCGGAAATACATGATGTGGCCCATTGCCACAAAGGAGACAGAAATCAATACGAGCAAACCAAAAGCTTCAGGATTGGGAGCCAAGATGACCATGATGAAATGCAGAAGATCGAGAAGGTAGTTCATGGAGTTCTGTACACCATTTATAATGCCTCTTTCAGATTCAACTACATTTTCTTGCAGCAATTGTGTCACAGTTAAATCAAAGGACCAAAGACCTATAAGAAAAAAATGTATTTTTTAAAGATTGAATTTTAATATAGAATTTTAAAGATCCAGTAAGCAAAATACACATTAGTCCTACTGCCTTAAAGTCACCATACATGCATTTTTATCGCAGCTTGCCTTAGAATGTTATTTTCATTACTTAATGCTAGGTTGTTAGTGATGTTAAGAAATGACCTTTATAGGCACCAGGCAAAAACAGGCCTAATCTATAGACTTATTTCTATCTTTCTATGTTTATTCATACGATGAAAGCATAATTCAAATCAGAGACATATTACATTCTATAATAAGTACTTATATTTTTAAAGTTTAAAATGAATGGGCCTAGTATATTGTTATGGTTAAAGTGTAAAGAAACTTTGAAACCTTTATGACATTTATTGCTTGGGTTCGAAAGCCCTACAATAAAGCTGTCTTGCTTGAATATTAATTTCTTAGATAAATTAATGAACTGCTTTGTATCTCAAGATAAATATGGTTTCATTTCAAGAACAAGTTCAGGAAAAGATAATTCATCAGTACTCTATTAATGATTACTTAAACATTGCTTTGTTAGAAGTCTTTATAGTAGGAATCCTTCCAGAGCTATAAAATCATTTGTTTAGCAAAGTATACAATAAATACACATCAGAGATGCCCTTTGAAGGACTTTTCTTCTACTTTACTTTGTTTCTATCAACTCACCTTGTCCCAGGAATTTTCTCTAAATTATAGTCCTATACACTATTTGGTAGAGTTAAAATAATATAAGATTCTAAATGACTAAATAACAGTATAATTATCATAGCTAAAATAATTTTAAAAACTACATTAAAAGAGTAATGCTTTAAATACTCATTTAGAGAAGATATCAGCTATTACCAGGTTTTAAGAGAGTATATGTACCTATATACAAAACTACACTGTCAACATTTCTAGCTAAAAACAGGATTAATGTAAGGATAAATAGTAGATTATGTTTAAAAATAACCCTCAGGGAATATTTAGGTTCACTTATTTTTGAATTCTGTGAACACACAGAAAGAGACAGTTCATGAAATATACCAAACAAGACATCTTACCGATTCTAGCAGCAATGACACCCGCAAACAGCAGACTGACAGAGATCAAGGACTCAGAGTTAGCAGTCATTGCTGAGAAAGTATTATCAGGGTTAGATTCATTTGACATGTGCATTTCAGTTGTAAGGGTGATGTCAGGTGTTTCTGTGGGTGTAAGTACAGGCATGGGCTCTGTTTGAATGAACCTAGATCGGATATCTTCAAAAGGAGATACAGTCAAGTCCAAGGGGCTTCCAGGCATGAACACGGAGATCACACACAAGATCAAGCAGGAGAGCTGTGCAAATCCTGAGATCAGGCCAGTCCGGATCAAGCCACATCTTCGACGAAGCCACGTAAAAGCCACAGTTCCCATTATTCCAGTTATGGCTGACGCACCCATCAAAATACTCAAGATGGACCCACTCAGCCCCTGAGTGTAGGCATACCCTGTGGTGATGCAATCAAAGCCCAGGACAGTCATATAGAGGAAAGCAAGAGCCATGCCTGCCAGAAACACTGGCTGGTTATAATAGGAGACCCAGCCGTCTCGGAAGGTGCGGAAGGGCTCAGCCATCTGGGAGGCACAGCTTGGCTCTTGTTCAGCTTCAAGCTCAGGGATGTTAGGGTCTTTCTCACCCAGTAGATTAGTTCCCTCCAGGGGTTTTGGCTCAGTTTCTGCTAATAAAAGACATCATTATTTGGGAAAAAGAAATGCCAATCATCCATTACTCTTCATTCCCTTCTTCCCTCTCCCATAGGGACCTTGAATCTACAAAATAGTATGGATTTCTTGTCCTAAGCTATGAATAATAGCCAACAAACAATCTCCAAAGTAGCACTTATGCTAAAATGTTATTGATACCCTTCTCTTTCTTTTATAAATTATACTCCCATCTAAATAAACAATAGGAAAACTCAACAGATATAAAACTGTTCAAGAAAAACAGCACCTTATTTCCTGGGGCCCTGTGATGATGCCATTAGCTCAGAAACACACTGTTTCCCTGCTTCTTGGGACATGCTCCCCTACATTCATATTCTCATACTCCTCTGCTGTCCCAGAAAGCTCCCCACAACTAAATTTACAGGGATTCTCTTGTTCTTTTTTCTCCCCATTGTTCTTCTCATTCCCACAAATCAAACTTGCTCAATAATCTCTCAGTTACCTCTCTGTGAAGGGCCAGGGGTCCCATTCCAATTCCTGGAGGGTCAATCCAGAGTTATTTCTCAGACCCTGAACTATTTGGGTTTTGACTCTCCTGACAAGGTGACATATTAAACCTCAAGAAGACCTTCAGTGGCAATAAAACCTGATGTAAATTCAAAATAGTTTTGGTCTTCACCAACATTACCAACATTAAGGTCTGAAAATCAGAATAAAAGGACGGATCATTGCAGTGAGTTTACCTTTGTGTAAATTCAGCTGTTTCAATTCAGCTTCCTCTACTTTAGGAGGAGGTTTCGCAGCTAGAGCAGGAGTTTTCTGGTAAACCTTCCAGAGGAGAAAGTATTCCACACACATGGATACCAAATTCCATCCCGAAATGAAACCACAGCCAATGACAGGAGAGCCAAATGTCATAATTTGGCCAACAGCCATAGGGGCCAAGATGTTGGTTAGCTGGTCAATCCTGCGTATTGTGGCATTCATATCTACAGAGGGAGGTGGAGGGGCAGATAAGTGTGCAAACCTATCAAGGAGAGATTGCTCACTTACATAATAAACATTCACAATGTAAAAATCTAAAGTGTAAATTTTAGAAAAGAATTCAGTAAGCAAACCACCTTGTTAGAAAGTCCTAAGTTGTTTAGAGCAAGCCGCATTAAGTTCACCTCAGTCACTAGTCCCTTCATATTGTGCAAATTATCCTCAGCTTTTAAAATAAATACAATAGTGATTCCAGCTTTATTTTTTCCAACAGTTATTAAGTGTCTATGATGAGGTTGGCACTATTTAAAAAAAAATGAAAACCCATGTTTCCCTGTCTTCGTCAAGTCTATATTCCTGTGAGAATAGACAATTAGTCAATAAGCACATAAATACATATTTCAGATGTTCACTTAACATTATGGTGAAAAATAAAGCAAAATACTGAGCACAGAGAATGTTCAGAGTAAAGGAGAACTTTCTGTTTGAAATATGTAAAGGTCAGGGAAGGACACACACAGAAAGAGAGCATCATAGCAAAGACACGAAGCAGGAGAGTATATGATATGGAGATCAGTAAAAAAGATAATTCCTGGCCAAGGGAACGGCAAAGGTCCTGAGAGGGGCATGCCCAACATGACAGAAAGACAGGTAAAAGGCTGTAACCCTGGCAAGGAAGCAGCAGACAGAAAAAGGTGAGGTCAGAGAGGGAGAGCAGACGGACCCAATTGTAGAGTCTTGGGAAGATTACATGGCCTTTGGCCTCACACTGAATGAGTCAGAAAGCCTTTGGAAGCTTATGAAAAGAGAGGTGGCACAGTCTGGCATGGTTTTACAGGTTTGTTTTGGCTGCTGTGCTGAGAAGACTGTAGAATGAAGGAGAGGATGAGGGAGGCAGGAGATGAGCGCAGAGGCAAAAACACAAATAGGAGCTGATGGTAGAGACTGGGATAGTCACAATGAAAATGAACATAGATAATCTACTTTAAAAGTAGAATCAGGAACACTTGCTAACAATGCAATATGGGTTGTGAACAAAGTGAGGAACTGGGTTGATTCTACAGCTTTTTCCTGAGTAACTACTGAAAGGACAGAGTTGGCACTGACTGGGAGAGGAAAGATTATCAGAAGAATCAGAGATTCTTCAGGAAATTATTCAGAAGAATGAGGTTTGGTGCAAAAGAATGAGAGTTTGGGTTTAGTGATGTTGACTTTGATAGGCTTAATATGTTCAAGAGATTACATAAAGCAAGCAGTCAATTATATGATTTTGGAACATAAGAAAAAAGGGTAAGCCAGATTTGGGAGTCATCAGATGGTAGATTTTCAAAGAATGACACTGGATAAGTTCATCAAGAGCTTAGTTCAGATTGAGAAGAAATAATGCTCAAGCCCTGAGTCCTTCTCATGACAGTATTTAGAGGTCAGGAAGGTGAGGAAGAATTAGCAAAAGAAGAGAAACCAGAACATAACGTCCTAGGAGAGGTAAGAGTTTCAAAGAAGAGGGACTAATCATCTGGCACATACTACTGATGTCTACAAGGAGACGCACTGAGCAGCTGTAGATTGGTTACATATGAAGTTCTGGGGACATCAAAAAGAGAAGTTCTGGTAGAGGGTAAGGGCAAATATCTGGCTAACATTGGTTAAAAGTTCAGTGCCAGCTCCAGGGGAACCACTTATAACATAAGTGAGTGGCACTCACTGGATTCATGATGTGATGTTACCTCTTGGGAAAAGTGAGCAGACATATTTTTTGTTAAATTTTATTAAAGAGGAGAACAAAGAAATGGGTGGTAGGTGGTCAAGGAAAGGAATTTTAAGAAGAGCAAAATTAAAACACATTTATATGATGATGGGAATGATACAGTAGATGAGAAAGGATGAAATCTGAATCCACTGCAAAAAAGTTGTTCCTAGATAGGAGCAAAATTTATCAATAGCAGTTAAGAGTGCAAGCCAGATACACGCATCAAATACACGTAGGGAGAGCAATGGGAAGGTCAGAACACATAGAAGCACTCTTCTCATTTCTCCCATGCTCTCAGTAAAACACAATGAGAACAGTGAACCAGGTTGTATGTTTTTCTCCAGCCATGCTCTACTATGGAGAGTTGGGTTTAACTAAATTATTCGGAAAGGAAAGAAGCAAAAGAAGCAGAAACCACAATAGCTGAGGGTATGTGCCAAGAGGCATTCAAGTCAGAATGACTGATCTTAGAATTTAAACTGATAAGAGAGAGAAGTTATGAGCAGTGAAAAGGTAGCACAATTCATGACTTGTAGGTACCAAAAAGGTTGGAAAGTTATTGGGTATGGGCGAACAGAAGTGAGCTAGAAAGGTTGGAGGTGGTAATTCAAGACAAGGATGCTTAAGATTAAGATTACATAAGGGAGGATTATAGAAGAAAATTTAGACCTTTGTGGCAGATGTGTATATATATCCATGGGGACACACAACTGAGTCAGAGTAGAGGACAAGATGAAGAAAGGAGAGAGGAAGTCAACAAATGACCTCCTTTCTCATTCTCTATCTTAGAGAGTAGAGTAAAAATTAATGAGATAAGTCCCTATCAATCATTTGAGGTGCCTTCAGGGGTAAGTAGTATATGACTAATAAGTACATTAAGAGAAAATAAAATTGCCTTCATTCCTTCTTTATTTCTTCCTGGTCTTCGATTGCTTTCCAATTAGCCTTATGAGTGTATAAAGCTCATATATGATAACAGGAGAACTTTGACATACTTCACCTTTCACTTGAGAGGCAAAGGCAGTTTTCATTGCTCGCTACTGTGGCTGTTTCTGCACAGGCTTCACTAACTTCCATCTGCCCCTCACTAATAAATTTCCAACTCATGTGATTAATAAGATGTATAGTATTAATTCAAAACACTGAAAAATGTGTATCCAAAACTCAAGTACTAGCAAAAAGTACTTACAAATTATATTTATTCTTATGTAAACACATATACATGTGCTCATTTACTTCTAGTTTATTTCAGCTACAGCTGTGGCACAGAACATGGCATTAAATAATGACTTGCTTTTATAAAGGGGTATTACATCTCAGAAAATAACAACAACAAACATATTTACTAAGCAAACAGCAGCTAGCAGATCTCTCTCATATATAAAATTATTTTTTGTCAATACAGCTCAAACAAGACATTTTTCTGCCATACTTGATCAAATTAATTAGGAGATGCTGCTGGAGAAGGGTGAACAAAAAAAAAACCTACAGAATGATTAACAAAGGAAGTAGGGAAGAAAACAAAACAACAGACTAAAAAGTCTGGGAAAAGGAAGTGAGTTTCAGACAGGTTTGACATGCTAAGGATTATGGCACAAGAGAATGTTCTAATAAGACTTTATATTTGGTACCTAGACAAATTAGCTAACATGTTACTTAAACATATCATTTGTGAAAAACAGTACTTTTGCTGGAGTTACCTTAACTAGAGGGGTTAACAGCTATATTTTGACCGGATATGCTGAAATTTTACAACTTTGTAACCTTCCAGGGATAATTTCCTCTTGCTCTTTACCCTTAGCAATACAACTTTCAATTTTAAAAGCAGCTCTGAAATTAAGAAATGCTGGAATAACAATGGGAGTAATCAGCATCCACCTCACCACCTTTCCTCTTCCAGGGGAAGAGGGACGTGCATGGTCCCCTGGAGCCTCATCACACACACAGCACAGCCTTCCCTTCCAGTCTTCTGCTCAAGTTTCTGACATAAAGTGTTTACAGCAACCTCAAAAATCTACCTGCATAAGCATCTACCATTCCTGACCAGAACAGGTGCATCTGTGTACAAATACACAAATTCAGAGGTACCCGAGGCAGTTCTAGTTCTGCTTGTCCCTTCAATTTTTCCTTTATCTTCCTCCATTTTCTTATATTAGTTCTAATCTGCCTAGAAATGGCAAAAAATATCCATGATAGATTTTTCTGACTCACATTATGACAGAATTCAGAATTAGTATTCTGTTTGGAAGGATAATTTTTTAGGGAACACAAATTCTGAGTTTATTAAACTTGAGCAAAGAAATTATAGAGGTTTTCTTGCATGAGGCTACTAACTCGCACTGCTTGCAAGATGCTAGACAGTACCACTGATTAAAAGCTAACTCACGGGGACATGAGTTCAACAGGCAGCTTACTCCCTTTCTGAAACTTGAGCAACTTCAGAGGGTTAGAAAATAGACTGGTTGGCCTAGATTCTTCCACTCTGCAGTAATTCCTAATATAAAGTAGGATAGTTACGAAATGGCCAGTCATATTTTTTGGTGCTGTTCAGGGATAATCATATCATAGTCAGAAAGCTCCCACACCATTATAGTCTTTGTTTTTCAGTTTATATTTAGAACAAGTTAAATATTCCAAGAAATTATACCATTATTAGGGCTTTTTTTTTTCAAGGTGAGTTAAGAAATTACTTTAAAAGTCAACTTTTCCCCCAAATTCTCTTGTGGGATATAAGTGAGCTCTACTTTCAAAATATATACTTTTATACCCTTTGAATTTCAGATTTGGACATGTATTACCTAAAATACTTTAAAAAGAGAAAGTAAACAAAAACATAAAAAGGACAGTCATGTACAATAATTCAATGTGATAAAAGAGATGCAGAATTACATCCAACTAGTAAATGATAACCGGAAGAAAAATAAGGAGATTCACTACGTTAGCTTCAGAGAAGCCTAAGCGAAATTCATCCCCCCCCCACACCTTATCCTATAAAATCACAATGAAGTATTTCTAACTTGTTTGTAATACTGCCATCATAAAGTAGTGACTTTTCACAGATTCTGCTCTCCCTCTATCATCACCTCCTTTCTGTCATTTTTTTTTTAAATCCACATGGTTCAAACAAGTTGCCTGCTAACCCCAATGCCTAATCTTGCCTCCCATGTCCTCCTGAGACCAGCCATTTAAGTCATGAGGATTGATTTTCTTTTCTATCAGGATGGTTAGGCAATGTGTTTGTGATACCCTTTATCTCAGTGACTGACAGAGTTGTTGATTCAACTGATGTGATGTGCAGATAGGGGCACCCCCCCTCCTTCACCGTTGTAGGGGGGTAGATACAAGATGTCAAGTGAGTTAGGTTATTTTAAGCACACACAACAGTGATATAACAGCACACATTGCTTTTCAAATGTTCTTCAGTCTTTCCCTGGCCTCTTATGTACGTTTCCAATGGATAACTAAGAGTGTAAACTATGGATTACAACTAAAAAGTAATTAACTTCTATAGTCTCTCAGAACTAAGTTGTTTCCATTTCATTTGAAGAGAAAAAAATATCACAGGTGTGGCCAGTAGCTAGTATTTACAATATATCCATAGTATGACAAGATAAAAATGCCAAGTCAGATTTTTACTGCTCTAAAGGACTAAGTAAACCATTTAGAAACAGCTAACAGAGAACTCAAAAGAAATATTCTTTCATTTTGCATCTGATAATAAAAGAAATTCACTATTGTATAAATTAAATGTCTGGCAGAGAAATAGATCTTTACACTGATATTGACAATATGGCAAGCAAAAGATTATTAATTTCAATGTACTGTTCTTTAAAATGCTCAGAGAAAAAAGTTTAGAATTTCATTTGTTACCAGTGATTTAAGGTGAATCTTAATATGACCCACTTAGTTGAAAGAGAAAATCAAATTACCTGCTAATTTGCTTCTGTTTTCTCCTGCCACAACAACAATCCAATCCCTCTGGATTGTGATTGCAGTTGCTGTACTGGCCAAATTTGCAATATTTGCAATAGTGATGATCAAGATATAGCAGGATGTCTGAGGAATTATAAGGAAAAGCTGAGTTAAAATGTCAGTTTACCACATTGATCCTACCTCACTGTACAATTATACTTTAAAAATGGATTTGGCATGATAAAATTTGACTTTAATTTAATTTATAAGCAATCCTTTAATTTGCACATATGAATTAGTAAATATTGCTGGTCAAATGATGGGCATAGTCCTTTCCAAATCCACACCATCTGTAGTGCACATTACACAAAAGTACAAATAGCGTTGGCACATTTATGTCACAATTGTCAGAGTGTTAATATAGGGATGGGTTTTTTATATTTCCCAGAAAAAGATCTCTTTTGAAAAAACAATGATGGGGAACTAAGCCAAGCAAACCCTAGAAATAATGTAACTGCAAAACTGAGGCCGGGTGGGGACAGAGGTGGGGAGGGGCCCAATGGTCTATGGGTGTTTTGGTGGTGAGGATGGTGCAGTGACTACATCTGAGGAGATGAAAACCTGTTCCTCTAAATTATATACGATGATGTAAACCATTTTTTCCCCAAAGATTACAGAAACAGAAGTAAGATAAATAAAATGCTGTAGGGGAAGGGAGAAGACCTGTATTCAAGTCAGAGTTCTGACAATCTTTACTTGCACGGCTATGGGCAATCAGCTAATATTATTTTGTCTTAGTTTTTTCATCAGTAAAGTGAAGGGATTATTAACAACAATGTAAGAAAACAAATAAGTTCTTTTTAAAAATGAAGGAAATAGATGATTTGAGTATCCTACCTAATTTTGAAATTCTGTAATGTCAATCCAAATATACACAACAATATTGAACAGTGACATCAGATCCACTGTTTTCCACTACACCCCATGTCTTTCTTCTTTTTTATCAAGCCATTATGAAATTACAGTGTGAGATATTAACTCCCACAAACAAAAATACCAGTTATTATTGAAGGGACACACACTGACTAATATACAAGAATAACAACTTTATATAGAATAATCAAATTATAGGCTAATATTAATTAACTGAAAATTATAACCAATAAGTGAGGGGGGCCCCTCTGGTGGCACAATGGGTTAAAGCGCAGCATTATGAAGCTATCAGAAGTGACTTACATGGTGCGGCAGACCTTTCCTGACCCGCCCACGGCTCCCCTCAGCAGTGTACTTAAATCAGTTCACCTGTTCTGTTCCCTACTCTGTCTCTGCTGAATACTCTCACCCCTAACCCCCACACCTCTGGCCTGTACCCCAGTTCTGTGTCATTTAAAAATTTTTTTTTTAAAATGCCTTATCTTAAAACAAAACAAAATAAAACAAAAAACATAGGGAATGTTAAAGTTAAACAGGGGTCAGTATTAAAAGATCCCATTTGCAAAATGACTCTCCTTAGCTTCAAAGAGTTTTTCTCTTTTACCATCACCAAAGTTCATTTTTCTTCCATGAAGAATCTTAATGAGAACTTACAAGAACCCATCCATGGTACATGGTCAGAAGTTCATTTTTATGTAAGAAAACCATCATCAGGATAATTCCACACAGGATGACCGAAACATTCTGTACCACCAGGGAAGTCTGGGCCACTGTATAATACAAAAGGAGAGACAAAATACTTAGTACACCAACATGTCTCAGTGCAGCTCCATTTTATTTAACATGGTATTTTCTCCACATATTAACGAGCTTTATACTTTTATACTGTATTAACACATGTTAAAATTACCAAAAAACAGGTGCCTACAGTAAATTTTGCCTCAACTACTTTCAGTGTGACCCAGATCACATCAGACCAGTAAAACCTGCACAGAGTGATGAAGTACCACCTTTTTTTTGTTAGTTGAAGCCATTCATAATGACCACATAAAAATGACCAAATAAAAGTTTGTTACCATAAACAGAACTAAATTATACAGAAAAAAAGTCCATCTCTCTGCTCTTTATCGCTCAGGCTAAAATAAGAACAAGTAGGAGGTGATAGAGGAGGCTAAGGGAGAGATTATCAAATCTACTACCTCCTATATAGCCAGCTAAATCTACAAACATGGTATAAATAAGTAGAAAGGACATGTAAAAAGTTGCCAATAATACAGTAAAAGTGCATTTCTTTTGGCCATCTAATGCTTCTACTACAAAATTCTAAACTACATATTCACTCAAAGAAAATGTCACCTCAAAGAAAACACCAACTTTCTTAGAGTGAGGCACTAATGTAGAAAAAGCAATGGAGTACAGGCGGGTATACCAGGTGGAGTTACCTTGCAGTCTTTTGCCACTTGCTAGGGTACCTAAAGTCTCTTATGCTTCTATATATAAGGTGAGGATAATAACATATACCTTAGTTTATGGGATCATTATGATGCTCAAATAAAAGACTTATGAAAGCACTTTGAAAAATACAGTGTTGTATGTGTAAGGTATAATTACAGTTCTTGTCTTCAAGGACATTAAAACTCATGCTAGCTTGGAAGGTCAGATCAAAGCCTCAAGACAAGATAAAATGTTTCTTAAATTAATCTGAAATAAAATCCTAACATATAATTCATTCATGCATTCATTCATTCATGACTCAAGGATGAAGTATGAAGTGAATGAGGTTCTTAGCTTTCAGGACCCCAGAGACCAGAGGAAGGACAGATATGTGAGCAGATAACTGTATGAGTATAAGAGTAATGCAGACATATTAACAATGTCTTATGGAAGCACAAAGGAAAAAAAGGGTTAACTTAACTTAGAGACATCAAAAAGGATTTTCATGGAAGGTGACAGCATGAGAGACTGCCATGTACCCAACTCTCCTTATCCAGTTCAACATTCTTTGCCAAACTACAGTTTCAGTGTTCAGCAATTATAAGGCTAAAGTCTCTCTTTACAATATACTAAATGCTTTGCATAATGGTGTAAATAAGTAGGAATTTTGGTCTACGATACAGCATACACACACACACACACACACAAACATTCTTTTTGATCTGGGCAGAAAAATGTCCAGAATTTGATAACCTAGTCACTTTCTATCTAGGGTTAGTCATGCACTGAAAGAAATTAATGGCATCACAATCCTTCCCTAATATCTAAGAGACATAGACTTAACAATTCAGGAAATACTCTTTGAATGATTATTCATACTGCCCATGTACTCTGAATAACTGAATTGCTCACTTTCTCCCTTTCCTATATGCAACTGAATGATTTCACTATTGATGCCCTAAAATAAATGGTAAAGTATTATCATTTCATATTTATTCTCAACAATTTGTAATTTAGATGTCTGTGACTCAGACTTGTACTTGCTCTTTTAAATTTATAGTTTTCACAGACCTCTGTGTGAAAAACAATAACCCAGAGAACAGATGTTAAAGCTGTCCCAGGAACATGACACTAAAGGAACGCTGGTGTAAGCCATGATTAGAAAGGATGCCAGAGCTAGGCAAACTTTTAATGTTTAACATGGTTCTCAGTAAAGTGCCATGGTGTTAATCATTAACAACTGGAATTTATGATCAGTCAAAGAAACAACAAAAAGATCTATAAGCAAAAGGTCCTCACTTGCCAACTCTGTGCAGGAGCCCCATGACCCTGCGAAATGAGGAACAGCCACTCAACCTCCCTCACTTAGACACGCACTGGGTTCTCTCTAGTCAATGCACTGGTTCTGTCAATACAAAGGCTTAGTTATAGCACCACTCACCTTTAAGTCTGGCATTCTTATCCACCCAATCACCGATGATGGCTCCCAGGACCAGCACAGATCCTGCCACCACCAGCCCATAGACTGCAGTCAAGAGGAGGCTGTTTCCATAGAGTTCTACCAGAAACACAGACACTGCAAAATGCCACATCCGATCTCCCTTGAAAAAGAAGAGAAAGTGTTAGGATAAAATGTTTTTACTTTCTAGTCAATTATACTCAGGATGTTGCTTCCATATCAAAAGGGCACTTTCCAGAAACATCATGAGTTTTTCCAAAGTCAACATCCAGGTGTTAAAACTGTTCATCCTGGCACAATGAAAGATCCTTAGTAACTCTTGCCCAGTTACTAAGTAAACCTGAAAAAGCATGTATTAATGAAACACACGCACTCCTAATCATTCTGGAGAAGGAAAAGAGCACTTTCCAGACCAGGAAGGTTTCTGAGACAAAAGCTACTCAGGTTTTCAAGTTTTGTCAGGTCTGGAATTTGTCTATCCCAACTTGCACGGCATAAAATAGTTTGCTACTGAAACAGAATGAAGCTATAGTATAACTCACAAATATTGGTATGCCATGAATATCAAGAAAGAGACAGTTTCCCAATTTAAAAAATTGTAAGTCTGGTCTTGATGATCTCAAGTTTTACTTCTAGTATTCCAAAGCCTAAGTTCTATTTTACAAATAAATTTCAAAGTCATAAAATAGCAGAACAATGAGAAAGGTGAAATCAATACAGGCAAATTGGTACAGCATGAAAAAGATGTCATAAATAAATGCAAAGAAAAGCAGCTGTTTTAATATTTTAATACAGATGGATTTTTCAAGGAGGAGAAACTACTTGATTCATCACTCCTTGAGCAGAGAGAATTTTGGAATTCATTAATATAAAATGTGGAGTAACAGAAACTTTTAAGTGAATTAAGTAAATTAGTATGTAAAAAAAATCTACAATGGGTCAAATTATGAGATTTTAGCTATCCCTGACCTCTGATGTTGACATAAAATAGAACAATAGTGTTCTATAACTACCTATCCTTGGAAATCCCTACAGGGTACTAAATCCCAGGTTAGGTTTCTTTATGATTTGACTCTACATGAAAGCACTTACATTCCTAGTTCTTTCCAAATTTTTTAGCATCTTCCTTATAAATGTAATGTACAGAAGCAAAGTATTACCCTAGTATGTGAAATGAATTTAAATGTTTAATAAAGATAACATTTAAAACTTAAATTGATGCATATAAACAGTAGCTAGTCATTTGCAGTAAACTTCATGTAGGGCTTCACTGGTGGTGCAGGGGTTAGTCTCAGCACTATCAAGCTACTGCCAGATACTGCAGCATGAGTTCAATCCCTGGCCAGGGAACTAACCTATCTGGCCCGCTGCTCCCTTCAGCAGTATATTTCAGAAGATCCACCTATTCTGCTCCCCACTCTGTCTCTGGTGAATCCTCTTACCCCAGCCCCCACCCTGACCCTCTGGCCTACACCGTAGTTCCTGTATGCATAAATAAATAAAAAATAAATCTTTAAAAAAAAAAAGTCCCCCCCTGTGTGCTAACAGGTAGGTCGCAGCACTGCAAGCTAGCCTAGCCGCAACAACTTCGCAACAACTTCCGTATGAGTTCCATCCCTCAGGAAGTGATCCCCATGGTGCAGCAGACCTCTCCTGTCTCTGTTCTGCTCCCCACTCTCTCTGGTGAAGCCTCTCTCCATCCCTGCACCTCTGACCTGTACCCCAGTTCTGTATGCATAAATAAACAAATAAATCTTTAAAAATAAAATAAAAAAATAAACAAACTTTATGTTAACAGTATTTCTCAATTGAGGGATGATTTTATTCTCCAGGCATCAACTGGCAATGTCTAGAGCTGTTTTGAGTTGTCACACTAGTACATGTGGGGGGAGGGGGAGGGAGGGGAAGGCTCTTCTACTGGCATCTGCACAATCAATGCACAGAACAGTCCGCCAACAAAGTATTATCCAGCCCAAGACACTATTAATGTCAAGACAGATAAACTTGTTGTAGGGAATTATGAACATAATTTAAAACTGCAATTTAAAATTAAAGTAAGATTAATTAAAGCCTTGGGTGTTAGCATGGTATGGTGCAATAAACTTGAAAACAACCTTGAAGCTAGTGGAAGCACCATGTTTGAAATTGATTCTCAGGTAATAGGAATACAAGATCCAAAACCTTCTGCACTCTTAGTCCTCAACTCAGTGTACCCCCAAATAATCATGGAAACCAAAGAGTAGGGAAGCATTCAATCCCAGTTGTGAATAAGAAAATACAGAATACTTAGACTGATTTATCGACTATATTGGGCATTAGATTTGCCTTACATCTGTTCAACAAGTTAGATTAATCAGTACCATGATTAATATACTGAGACAACTGTTTTATTTTAATTTTTTTTTGATAATGGGAAGTTTCAAATACCATTGCAGTGATTAAACATTAAACATGATATATATATTTATTTGAAATCAATAAAGACAAGTTTACATATTAAGATGAAGATGTCAATGTGAATAGCAAGTTATTTTCTCAAACTTTAACAGGAGAATAAATTTAGATATGATTAGAATAAAATAGGATGGAAGAAGGAGATATTTTACGCTAATACCACCATCCTGCTGAATAGCTCCTAAGGAAAAGACAAAAACACATGAATACCCTAAATGATCGGTTGGTTCCAGGAGTAAATTTCCTCTCATTTAACACAAAAAAATAAATATTATTCTATGACTACTGCTTTTGTTTGTTTCTTGAGTATTTATTCCCCAAAAGAATTTATTTTATTTTTTGTAAGACTTATTTATTTATGCATAGAAGAACTGGGCTAGAAGTGGCAGTGGGGGGAGTAGAGGATTCATCAGAGACAGAGTGTGGAGCAAAACAGGCAGATTTACTGAAATGCACTGCTAAAGGGAGCGAATGCGTCAGACAGGAGAAGTGTGCTGTACCATATGTGGGTTAGCTCCCTGGTGGTGGGGTAGGGCTGTTGATAGAGGGTTGTGGAGACAGAACGCAGCTCACAGCAGTGATAGCTTATTAACGCTGAGACTTAACCCCTATGCCACAAGGGAGGCCCCAAAAGAAACTGTTTTAGATTCCAAGTGAGTAGACTTTAAAAAACAAGCACGGGCCCTCCGTGGTGGCACAGCAGGTTAAAGCACAGCACTAAAGAAGCTAAAGTCACTTCCACCTGAGTTTGATCCCTGCCTGTCCCAGAGGTGACCACACGGAGCTGCAGACCTCTCCTGACTTGCCCACTGCTCCCCTCAGCAGTATATTGCGACGATCTGCCTGTTCTGCTCCCCACTCTGTCTCTGATGAATCCTCTCACCACCCCTGCATCTCTGGCCTATACCCCAATTCGATGTGCACAAGTAAATAAATCTCTATAAAAAATTACTATTAAACAATAAAATTTTCTCTCTTGCTTATCCCTGCATGGAAGGTAACCTCCCTGACAAAAAGTTGCCCCAATTTCCAAAAGAAACTTGCTTGCTTCAAAAGCAAGTTTAAATGTTGACCAAGTGCCACCTCAAGTCCACCCATTCCTTCTGTGTGACAATTTTCTGTCTTCCACATGCTCTCACCAGACTTCCATGATCTGTTTACAAGTATATCACTGAACTGAAAGCCAAAGGGAAATGATTATCTATAAATGAATGATCACCGTCACTAATCCATTTAATACTTATTTAAGAGGCTGTTACGTATTTAATTCTACTGCAGGCACTAGAAATTCAACAGTACACAAAAATCAAGGTCCATACTTTTACACAGCTTGCATTTTATTAAAACATTAATAAAACACATTAATCCACTGCCAGATAGAAATGAAGTCAGAAATAAAAAGCCTTTAAGCCCACTCAAATTTAACCTGATACAACCTCTTCCATAATACCTCTATATTCATGTGTAGAAAACTACAATTTGGCAGAGTTGGCAAGAGAATGGACCGATATGTATACCTATGTGTATACATAAGCACACATTGTTTGTTGTAATAAAACCAGACTGAATGTCAAGCAGGAGACAGAACGCAAAGGGTAGAATTATCTAGAGCTAGATATTCCCCTTCTATACTCTCTTGAATGAGAAGAATTTTCTTAGTTTCATGTGTGTATATCTGTGTGTGTGTGTGTGTGTGTGTGTGTGTTTTAATCCAACTTTCCCACAGAACTCCCTCTGCTCAACATACTATAAAACTAAGGTATCTGTTACTTTTCTTGTGGGCATTCCTCTTGGAACAGCCACAGAACCACTCTTGGAAAATCTGACCTCCCAACCTATAAAGAAAAGGTCACATAAGCTTTAATCTTATTCAGAATCTGAAGTGAGGCATTTCTTCCCCAGAGACTGGTCCAGAATACAAGATGCGAATTGCAAATCTGATCTCCATGTTAGTGTTTGTTTTAATATTTTATACTTAATGATTTAAATTAGAAGAACAAACTGCTGGTTTAGATTAAGTAAAGGATAATTTCACTCAGAATCATCAGCTATTGGAAATGAAACCAACTCACACCAGCTCCATTTTAGTTCTAAGGTATTTGCAGAGTAATCCCTTCCTAAGCCCTGATAGTAGCTTGCCTTTTTAAAAAGTCATCTTTGAACATCTATTTCTTGAAGATCTGATAACGTAGCTTAATAATTTCCCAGGGGGGTGGGGTACAGAATTCCTGATACAATAGTTGCACTGATGTCTTTAAGATGATCCAACAGAAGATTGCAGTTAAAAAAGAAAATGGCATCCACAAAATTCACTTACAAAATTCTTTCTCTTTTCTTATGGTTCTTTTGATTAAGTATCATATAGGAGCATGAATAGCATATACTCAGATTTAATTTTTTAAACAATACAAATGATTATTTCATTTTAAAGATTCTAACCGTCATTGAGTAAACATCCAGCAACCTCTCAGATTAGTCTTTTGGGGTAGAGGTAGGGGATTCATTAAAGAATCCAAGGCCCATCAAAACTGGGAAACTTCCAAAACCACACAAGAAGTCGGAGAGAAAATTATTAATTAGTTGGTGATTTTCACTGGATGATGTTTTTAAGAAGAGCCTGAGATAGCCTACACATATCTACCTATTGATAACATGCTTAAAGAGCAGATTTTCATGCTCAGATATTTCTTCTTGGAGTCAGTTATCTTTAAATTAATGTGAGTGCTATTATTTTTCTAAATCAGTCACTCCACTATTCTAGTGTATTTTAAAATGTAGTACACTGGAGTTTAGATCTTAACAAAAGAAGGATACATAAAAATATCTTAAATGTGGAAGAATAGAAAGTATATGAACATCAACCTATTTTTTTGCAGCAGGTATTACTGTTTACTAAACCTAGTAATGAAACATACTATATATAAATGATGTAAACATTCCTGTCCTTGTTATTCTATCTCTGGACGGTTGTCAATCTACATAAACTATGGCTACCCAATAATTAAATGGTATTTACTAATACCTCTGGGAAAATATCTTAGGGGAGAAATAACTTTTTCATTAAAGTGTGTGTATCTGGATGATCTGTTTCTTTAGCTGCACGACAAACCTGGAAGATGGCTTAACACAACTTGCCCAAATGGAAGGAAACAAGACATTGTGCAAGTATGTTGTAAGAATTACTATAGATTTTCACTTACCCAAGTAGATAGAGAATGACCAAGATAGAGGAGGAATTTTGCAGAGGTCAGGTAGTTTGTGAAGGATCCTGCAGAAACACACAGAAGGGAAAGATAAAAGGCAGAGTTACTTGAGTGAGCTAAGGTTTATGCGCATAGTATTGGCTTTCATTAAAAACCACTTCATGGGACAAACCATGTATCAATTCCACTAGGAATCCAAGTGCGTTTACTTAATATACCTCAAGTTCACCATGACCTATTGGTCAATCACCACCGCACAACTCTTCATAGACAGTGAGAAATGCTCTTGTTTTTCAACATTCTTCAACGTTATTTATTATTATTATTATTATTATTAAAGAAGAGAATCCAAACTGCCTGGTCTACTCCATCCTTACCCGTGTGCAAGCCTCTTTTCCCCACACCTCTGACCTCCTCTCTCACCTTGGCCCTACAGACGAGCGACAAAGCCTTCTGGTTAACAGCTGAGCCACATTCCTCCCAAACCTGCCTGGAGCCGCGGGTCTCCGCAGCCCACCCAGCGCTTCCACCATATGCATTCGGTCCACTCACCGCAGCATCCTCCCGGGTGGTTTCGCTTGCTTGCCCTGGTCATGACACCAGGCGCCCCGACTTGCTCTACTCCTGCTGCTGCTGCTCTTCCTGAGGTTCTTGTTAACAGGAGTGTGCGGGACTGAAGATAGCACCACTAAAAACACAACAGCCTTGTGCAGAGAGACCCCAAAGACTACTGCAGTAAACAACAAAAGGAAAGCGGTCCGGGGGTCTTCTTTTGTTCTTCTTTCCAAACTTAGCTAACACTGTAGCTGAAGTTGGAAAGGCAAAGCCTTATGGAGGCGGGTGGGAGGCTCAACAGGCCGCCGGAGCCTTGCGGGAGCCGCAGTGCCAGCTCGCGCAACTGCCGCCGCCTCGGCCGCCTCGGGCTCGCCCAGCACTTATACTGGCCTGGGCGGAGCTCCCTCCCGTGGCGCGCTCGGGGCCGCCCCTCCCGACTGGAGCCACCCGGCGTCCCCGCCGCTCCAGGCTAGGCTCCGGCCTGCCCGCGCCCCGCGCCGCCTCCACGCCCTTCCGAGGACGGGTGGCTCGCCCGGGGCGCGAGCGTCCGGCCAGCCACAAACAACCTGCGCGGCCTGCGGGGACCTGCACCTCGGCACGCTCCACTCGCCGGGTTTTGCTGCCCTCCCGGTGCCCGGAGGAGGGAGGCCAGGGACTGGGTGTTGCAGGACAAGGGGCGGAAGCGCCGGGCTGGCGGGGAGAAGGGGTGCCCAAAGCCGGGCGGCAGGTGCTGTGGGCAGGATCTGTGCACAGGCGATCTGGCCGTTCCAGGGCAGGGCCCATGGTCAATCTGCAAAGCGCCAGCCAGGCTTGGAGGATCTTTACTTTATTTTTTTAAACGAAAATAGCTTCTAATATGGATACCTAAATACACACAATTCATGTTATCTAGGCCGTTTCCTGGCCTTCCCAGTCTGGCTTGCCGGCGGCAGAAAATGTTTTCTCTTCGCAGGAGTGCAAAGCAAAGCTTCCCTCAAAGATTCAGAATCAAAGAGCAGGAAGGGGAGCAAAGATCAGAGTGGAGTTTTCAGAAAAGTAAACGGAGGCTGGAAATGTTGGGTCTTGCAGCAAGTTAGGGATTCACCAGCCCCACCCCAGGACTCAGGTGCTCATATCCTTCCTGAAGATGCAATAAGAAGCTGGCCAGGCATTTCCCTCATCAGTCTGCCAGCTCCTCTACCCGCTTCCCACCCTTCTCCCTCCTTCAAGACTCTTTCCCACCTCTCTTCCAAATGTCCCACTGACAGGCAGTTACCTGGAATACAGGTTGTCCCAGGTGTGTCCCTGGGTCAGTCTCTGTCCAGATAAGGCCATTGGGTTACCTCCTGGGGGGGACAGCTGAATGACTCTCAAGAACACCAGATTTAAGCTCTCCTAGCCGTTTCTGCTTTTCCCTTACTGCTATTCAGAAATCCCTGGGACATTCTGCCCTCTATTACATAGAGGCTGGTGATCTTACCCTTCTCAGTCTTGCCAAATCTCCAGGAGTGGATCCCACACATTGAAACTCCAGCCAAATTGCACACCCTTGACACAGGCCCAACTGACGCTCAGTAATGAAGGGAGACAGCATGAATATATGTCCCATATCTGAATTCTCAATCAGGAGCCCCACAAGTCTAACTGGTGGGTGGGGTGCCCCTGGATTCAGTTGGGATGTGATCTGGAGGGCAGAGATAGTGGATTTGCAGTTTAGTTACCACTGTTAACTGCTTTTCTTTCCCCTTTTCTCATCATAACACATTCAAGTGCTCAAGGCTTTTTTCTTGACTCCTAGAGAGATTGTGGTTTGTCTTTGTCTTTTGAAGCTGCAAAATAAGTTCATGTATCCATATTGTTAGGGACCTACAGAGAATGAACTAGAAAATTAAATCTCTCTACATTATAATAGCTCTTACTAGAGATGGATTTTGTTGATAGTTCATCAAGCAAAGCACAAAAGATAATAATGATACTTTGCACATTTGCCAACAGCATATCCAGCAAGAACCTTTACATTAATTTTTGCATACCAAGTGCTGTCCCAAACTTTCAAGTGGCTAGAAGAAAGTTCAGTTGGTTAAAAAGGAAAGAAAAAATATTTCCAGTCAACAATGTCTTTAGGAATAGTTAGCTGAGTCATGTAGACTTCAACATGAGACTGCATTCCACTCTCATCAAGGAGCTCCCAGAAGCCCAAACCGAAAGCATGGTAAGAATGGGAGATGTTAGAGATCATATAGGAAAAATGCATCGGAAAGAAAAAGCAAGATCCTTAACATCACAACCAGTGATATGTTTGAGCTTTGGCAGGGGAAGTCAAAGTATTTATAGGAATAATTATGAAATGGAAAGAAATTAAAAATGAAAATGGAATAAAAATCATCAAAATTCAGGCAAAATACAAAATGACAGTAATTGCCTTGCGTTGACATTGGAGATTACAATGTACCATTTAAATCACAAGATCCCAGCTGGTTATTTCTCCTAAGGAACCATCTGACTTGCTGAAAATTAAGATTTCTTTCAAAAGTCATATATAGCTTTTCTAGAACTCACAATTTTGCTGTCAATGTAATCATACTAAGCCGTATGTTTTAAGTGAAATTTTCAAATATAGAGACCCTAAAGATCATTTTCAACTTTTTAAAGTTTTTAAGTGAAAAAAAAAGTTTTTAAGTGAACAGGTTAACTAACTTTTGAAATATTCCAGCACAGATAATATATCATAATTTAAAATTGATAAGTATTTATGGTTTTACTATTTTATTAAGTTGCTTTTTTACTTACCTGTCAGGCATCCTGTTTTCTCTGCTTTATCTGCTGTGCTTACCAGGACAAACACAGAATACAGAATGGTCTCCACTAACCTGCTCTAAAGAAAAGTAATAGGATTATCATCAGCTAATATAGGAAGAGTTCAAATCCAGGACAGAATTTCTGTTAGGTATGAAACTTTTTAATCTAACTCAAAAGCTATTAAGTCATTTTGCCATTCAAAAGCCTTTTCAAGTTACAGGTATATTTCAAGAACTGTTTGATGTTTCTATGACCTATAATTGACTGGATACTTGATAAATTTAAGTTCAGACATCTCATTTAAGATACATCTAATTTAAAAAAAAGTATCTTCTTCCCAAGTTTTACATTTTGTTGACAATTTAAATAGTTTAGACCTTGCAAAGTTTCTTATGAATGCAACCACCATCCCTCCCCCTCATATATACACACAGATACACTCAGTAGTCTACTGTTTTCTAGATGGAAAATTAAACTCAGAACTCAGAAGTTTCCAAAAGAAATATATATTCTTAAGGTGAACCACAGAAACAGAAAGCATTTAATGGTTTGGGAAAGGGTGAGGTAGGGGAATGAGAGAATAGGTGGTAACTGCTTAATAGATACGGAATTTGCTTTTAGGATGTTGAATATATTGTTAAACGAGATAGCAGTGACAATGGAATCACATTGTGAATTTACCAAATGTCACTGATATAAATACTTTAAAATGGTAAGCTTTATGTGAAGAGGACCGCAATTTTTTTTTTAAAGATTTATTTATTTATACATACAGAATTGGAGTACAGGCCAGAGGTGCAGAGGGTAAAAGGATTCACCAGAGACAGAGTGGGGAGCAGGACAGGCAGATGAAGGAAGTACACTGCTGAGGGGAGCAGTGGGCGGGTCAGGAGAAGGAGGACCTCAATTTTTAGATAAGAAATATATTCCTATCTGGAAATGTCATTTTTTCCAATAATAGTATTCACTGGGATAACTGGAGACCAAGTGAGGTCTTAGGAAATCTTAGTCAAAGAAAAAGAGGAAAAGAGAAGTCTTGCCCATGACATTTACCAGAAACTAGCAAAGCATAGAAGTGAGTTAACTGTTTAATATTATCCATGTATAGCCAGAAAATACATATTCTGTTTAATAAATGTTTTGGTCGCTCAACTTTTGCAGGGGTAGTTTCTTTTTGCCATCTAAACTAGCCCTCTGCTGTTTTAACATAATTCCCACTCTTTAAAAAAAAAAAAAAAGATTTATTTATTTATTCATACAGAAGTGGGGTACAGACCAGAGATGCAGAGGATGGGAGGCGCCACCAGAGAGAGTGAGGAGCAGAGCAGGCCGACTGACAAAGTACACTGCTGAGGGGAGCAGCGTGCAGGCCAGGAGAGGTCTGCTGCACTCATGTGGTCACCTATGGGGCAGGTGGGGATCGAACTCAGTGGCTTGAGCTCCTTAATGCTGACCTTAACCCGCTGCGCCACCAGGGACGGCCAATGCCCACTCTTTTGTAATCTGTCTTCAATAGCACAGAACACAGACACGTAATATCACCACAGTATTTCCTTCGTATTCTCCAGAACTTCCTTGGCCTTACCTCGCCTTGACTTTCTCAGGATCTATAAACAGGGATGAATTTCTCAGCTGTTCCATCATTTTTATCTGTCTTCTTGGCACCATTTTCAAATGCACCTTTGCTTGCAAGTTCCCTCTCAGAAGACAGCACAGAGGGTCTCACCCGTCCAAGCAGGGCCTCCTGTGTTGTCTGCTCATAGCCTTCATGTTCTGTCTCACACAATCCACACTGCATAACCTATCACTAAGCAGCTCCTTGAAACTGATTCCCGCTAACTGGTGCTATACTTACACATGAAGTCTGCATTCTGGAATTGGAGCAAACATTTCAGAGCTCGTTAGTGTTCCCCGTAGGACAGAGTCCACATGTTCAGTGCAGGAAACCTTCTTCCAGCTTCCTCCTTACTCCAACCTTTAAGTGGTGTGATCATTGTGTTGCTCTTTTATTTTGCTTCCTTCTTTGTTTTAGTAAATAGTGCTCCAATAAATAGTACTACTGATTTACTCCTCTTATCTCATAAAATGCCAAGTTGTAATATCGTATCAATTATGAGTGCAATATTGTAAAAGATAATGGTGTCTTACAGACATAAAGTCCTGATTAGACACTATCCCTCGTCTTTGGTCCTGGATTTGAGATCTCAGATCAAAAGTGTAGAAGACCCTAATATGAGAAATAAAGTCCTTACCACATGTCCTGGATACAGCCCTCCTCTCCAATGTAATAAAGAAGATTTACTAGAGTGCTTGTTTCAATACTTTGAGTTAAAAATAAAATCAGGTTTTTCCCAAGGATGTCTGCCAGAAAGGCCTTTGATGCATTTTATCTGCATTGAGCCACAAATTTAACAAAAGGCACTATAAACATGGCAGATAAGAAATAAGGTAATTATCAGATATTATCTCATTTCATATTTATAACGCCTCTGAAGAAATACTGTTATTATTCCCACTGTTCATAAAAAGAAACAGAGTGGGTGGGGTTAAATAATTCACCCCAGGTCACTTAGAAAAGGGTGGA